TCCTCATGCTGTCCCTACATGCAATGGACAATATTGGCCTTTGGATTTAGCTTCTAAGGGACCTCCCAGGACCTTTCCGAGGGACCTTTCACCGTCTTCCCATTCTCCTTTTCTCCTCAAGCCCTCCCCTTTTAATTTCCTTTATGGTTGTTTTCACCTCGGATGCATTAAGCCGCTATTTTGGCTTGTAATGCATCTGGCCGTCAACAACAACGACTCAAGTTGGCCATGACGTGACGACTTGTCCTTATCTCACTCCTATCGCTCCTGCATCTCTCATTCTCTCTCATCCTTGCATGGTCATTGCAGCCCGGATTGTCATAGGGATTAATTTATAACTTCATTGCACCTAATCCCTTTCACACACCTTCCTTCCCTGCTGATTGTCCGCACCGACACATTTGTCATTTGGTCGGATGCTCAGCGGAGTTCCCAGCATATATCCAGCTTCGCGCCTACACACTACTGTGTAAGTACCCCAAGATGATGAGGTGCCAAACGACTCCGTCGATATGAGCTCTAGCCCCTAAGTATGTCACCACTCGCTAATGGCTCCTTTTTGTCTCTACTTGCCCTTTCTCACCCTCAAGTGCCTTAACTCCTTGTCCCTACCTGTCCATTAAATCTCAGACCTCCGTAGGACTTCAATTTCCACGCTCACTACACCTAGTCCTTCATTTCTCACAGCACCTCAGGTAGGCATCCCATACTTGCTCCTTTTTTTTTCTCGCCTTCCCTATATCACTCCCTCCGACCTTATTTATTTTTTTGTGATGCCTCCCGTTTTTAGGATGGTGCAAGTTCACGTTCTTGTGACTCCCCTTTTCAAGTCACCATTTTTGCGGCCTAGGATATTCCGGTATTTCCCAACCACACCCTTTTATATTATTATAATTATTACTTTAACTACCCCCTTCCTTACTACACTTTTTATCGCCTAGCACTTTGGTTGAACAGTCGTCCGAAGTTGCCAGCTTTATGACCCTGACACTTCCCAGAGCGTCCTAGTGCATCCTAAGCTCTACCTGTGCCCCTTTTCTCACCACCCATGCTCCAGTCTCTAGTTGGTCCATTATTTGCAGACTACCATTCTCCCGCGTCCTAGTGCACCCTAAGCTCTACCTGTGCCCCTTTTCTCACCACCCGTGCTCCAGTCTCTAGTTGGTCCATTATTCGCAGACTGGGATTCTCCCGGTTTACTCACTTCTCCTCGGAACACTCATCTTGGTGGAACCTGTCACACCCCAAAACCGTTCTAGATTGACAATTTTTCCGCCCCTTACTTGGACCGTCATGGGAGGTGTTGCTGCTACCTATTCTCACTCTTTATGGAGACCTCCCTTGCCTCAGTTAGCCAGTACATTGTTCCCACCAAGCACAGACCCGAGTTTTCTATGTTCTCAAGCATGATCCCTTGGCTCAAGAACCAAGGGTTCTAACACATTCCCTCCCCTCAAGAACCAAGGTATCTGCATTGTGCATGATCGAGGGGACGAGTTTACTTGTTAGTTTGCGGTTGTTTTACGGCTTGTTATCAGGGGTAAGTGAGCCTTTTTTTTCCCTACTGACCATGCTCTTGCCACGACCATCCCATCCTTTTATTACTTGCAAGACGGTTTATTATGCTTGTTTTGTTCTTATCCTGCAATTAGTCCGCCGTTATAGCCCATTATTCTCTTGACTTCTGATACATACTTGGCATTGACCCTCTCCCAACTCCTATTACCTATTTGCTGCTACCACTGTCCGTTCTCTTGTTTACGTGTCCAACTTCCTCTGCTTGCGGCGCACCTTTCCCCCCCTTAGGACATCGCGTTGTAGTGTCCTATGAACAATGTGGGTGCCTCGGCCTTTGGCTTTGGCAAGGTAAAGGGTGTCTGTGTTGATGGCCTACAAGGGTGAGGTGATCAGTTCTCCTTATTCCACTCACTAGCTCCCACATCTTCCTACCTTACGCGGCTGCTATTGCTGTTGGGGAGGGTGCCCCACCTGTGGGTCAATCCTTTGGATGAGAAGGCAATCTATTTGCACCTCCCAGGGTCCCCTCTGTCTCTCGACAAGCAGTGCTTTCACCTTCATTGCCCATCTGGTTCACATTTCGACGCCTTGATTGGATCCAGCTTCCCACCAAAATGTAGGAGAGTGGCCTAGTTTTTCTTATTAGTAAGGTGGGGTGAGGAAAGAAACTGCAATTAGTCTCCGGTGCGGTGCTAGCGCCCCGGCGAAGAGGTGGTAACACTACGAATTCCATGGTGGTGCGGCTCTACCTTACCTCACCTTGCGCCATCCCTTGGGATGTTCCCATTCACCTTAACAAAAGTAGTCTTGATCCACGCTTCGGCTGACTTGTCCCTCACCAGAACCAACCTCAAGCTTTGGTTTCTTGGCATGGAGATCCCAGGTTCTATGTGACCGAGATGGCACGCATATGAGAGTGGGTCTTCTTCCTTATATTTATGTCCTGGGCTTCGTCTTGAGAGGCAGGACGGTCTAGAACTGCTGCAACCCCGGACCGTTGCCTCGGTAGCCTCTTGAAATCTTGAAAGGATGGGTTAAAGGATGAATGCCACTTTCCCAGCTGGGTGTGTAGAAAAAACATGGGCAATGGTACATAGCTGATGAGCTCCAACAGCATCTTATGACGAAGGACCAACAAGTCTAGTTGGCCGTACATGAGGGACCGAAGAAACAATGCAGAGTGAATATAGATGCAGTTGTGTAACAATCGACAAAAAGTGCAAAGGGAGTTCCCAGAGCCTCCTGCCAATTTTCCGATCCAAGTTCGATCAGGCTTACTCAAGTTATGGTAACCAGCTCTTTTCACATGTAAAGTTATAACTCTTCATCCATATCATAATTAGAGCTAAAGCACAACATCTAGCTCAAAGTCTTAAGCTTGGTGAATAGGCATCGTGTTTATTTTTGACACTTCCGCCCCTGTTCCAAATTGTCATGGACCTTCCCCATGGTATTCCTATTCAAAATCTTCTAAACATTGCAATTTTGTCTTTTATATTGGGGACCAGCTAGGGCGCCTGGGCGCCCACTGATTTCCCATTGAGTCCTCCTCATCGCCACTCGACATACACGTCGGTTCCTCGTCATCCTCTTAACATGTATTTGCTTGTCGTGGTCGACTTAGCCAGCCCCTGGGCTTGGGCCCGAATTCTCGTTTTGCTGACTCACTACACAAGGCCTTCCTCCTCTTTTGGAGCCTCAGTGTTGCAGGAGGGGTTCACATCGACCTTCGTCCCTTTATTGGTTGGTACTCTCTTCACTTCTTCTTTTCCAACAGAAGTAAGAGTCAATGCCCCTTTTGAATCACTACTGAGGTTAATACGTTCTCATTGGACCCGTATAATCACATATGCAAGTACATGCAAAAAAGGAAAAGAAGAACATAATTTTTGGAAGACCATCCTTCCTGCATTAGGTTGTCTATTAAAAAATGATTATCTCCTTTATCGCCTCCTTATTAATGATCATCTCCTTTATCGCCTCCCTATTAATGATCATCTCCTTTATCGCCTCCGTATTCCTCACACCTCACTTGATCAACTCCTCAGTTGTTATAATTTTCTTGTCTCCTATCCTCTTCAAAGCCTATCGTCTTTGACGTAGGTATCAATCTTCCGCATGTACCCCAACTCCAGCCTGTAGTCCACTCAGACATGACATTTTCGAAGAACAGTCGCACCTTTGCATACCTTCACTAGTTCTTAATGTCGTTCGCGACCAGTTTAGCAATGGCATTCTTAAGCAATCAGTGTTCGGGGATAAGCCTCAGGATAATGGGGCTTCATATGCTAATTGGGACTCACGAGTCCCCTGAATACATCCAAGACATCTTAGTTTGAACACGGTACCATTGTTAGCAATGAACCTTAGAATGAAAGGATGTCTAGGGTAAAAGTTTTCTATCCAATCGTCCACCGCCATGCTCGTCTTTCTTTTCATCACCATCTTCTACAACACCCGAGAGATTGTTCCTTGCAACCAGAGTATCATTATCGAATCCAAACGTATTGGGTGTCCCAATTCAGGACATGGGTTGGTCAAATTGGTTAGACGATCCTAGTATTGTTCCTTCCTTGGTAGATACGACACGCATGGCAGTAGGTGGCCACCATGTTATCCATCCTTTGCCAAAAGTCAAGAGGCGCACACACATATACACGAATAAGAAAAATGAACGGTTTTAATGTTCCCTTCATGTCTATTTTGTTTTACTTTTATTGTTTGTTTTGCAAAGTGCGCTATTTTTGTTCATAGTTATGTGACATATAGCAAGAATCCTTTTTGACGATATATGTCCTCCAGCTAGCCAATATGTATTGCTTGTATAATGATTATTTCCCGACTTTTGCCACAAACTACCCTCTGGGAACCCCCTATCTTGCAGCCTAAATAAATGTCCTTCCTTGACCACGTAATACTTCTCACGTGCAGTACCTTACCTTCTACTTCACCTGCCTCTTCTATACCAATAAGCAACAAGCCTATCTCCCGATTAATATCGTCATACTAACCGACATAAAAAAATTGTCCTTCCTCGTGATCCCCCTCGCCTTCCTACTTAGCGTGATTCCCATTGTAGACCCTTCGGTTTTCTTCGTCTTATTACATTATCTTCATAACATACGCAATGCCTCCATGAATAGTCGTGCCAATGCCTCTTCCCTAGGTCCTACTGGCTCTTCTCAAGCATCATTTGTTTCCATTCCCAACGTGGTAGCATTCCTCCCTAATTTCCCTAACTGTTGGTGAAGGTTCCTTATCTAGGGTCTTGATAAGCAACTCCCCGAAAACCATTCTCTCATTCATCAGTCGTTTGTCCACCGCCAAAATCTCACCCTTATTATCCGGAACGCATCGATCAGGATTGAGTCCTCAATGCCCTCAGGCTTGCTACCACGGTTTACCACTCCATCAAAATTCCAATTCAGCTTGGCGTCGATACATTGAGATATGGATCACGATCGGGATCTATGCCACCTTACCGGGGATGTCGATCTCGAACTCGCTAGCCTTGCACACCATCGGCCATGGGAGATGCAAATGATGAGGATAATGACCTCCGCTTGTGTCGCCCAAAAGATGATTTTGAGCTTGCCATGATGCAACCAAAAAAAAGTTGACTTCACAAGTACAGTCCTGTCATCCACAACACGAAACACACAAATTATGATGCAAACTCAAACATCACATACGACGAAAGACACCATTGTCATGACACATAATATCTTTCCAATTTAAAAATGTGATAGATATTGCAATGTGATAGATATTGCATGTAACAAACAAACCAAACCCACTCCCTCCATATTCACCAACACATCCATATATGCTCCTCGGTATCAAGTCCGATAAAAACTTTGACCATTCTCGAAGATAACAAATATCGGTACTATATTCCATCGTAATTATCCTCTTAACTTTTGTAGTGATATTTCTATCAATCCAATGTTGCTAGACTCATGAAGCCGCCATATGAATACAAACAATAAAGTGTAAAGCTCTGCATACACTGTTCCACACTACGATACTTTGATTCAACCAATGCAGTGGAATTGCCACAAGTAAAAATCACCATGCTGCCAAACCAGGATGAATACATACACTGGATGGAGTACACAAGGAGCAAGAAGAAGTACAAATCTTCATACTTGTTCCACGATGTCTACGCTGATCCTCAATAGATGTACTCTCTTAAGTTCTACAAAAAGTGTGAGGCATTACACATTACAGTCAGTACTGCGTGACAACATGCATGTTGAAACATGCACTACCCTTCATGCCTCCTCCACGGGTAGGTTCTTTAATCCATTACCCTATTTAAAATATATTCCTCCCTAAGTCAGCATGCCACCTTCTTTCCACAAACCCATTCATGCCTCGTCCATCTTCTGCCCACCAGTGGCCAACATGCATCTTGCGTCACGTGAAACACCTCCATACTCATAGTCACAAATAGGTCCATGTACCTGATTTGTGATCCTGATGTATGTGGTCGTGTTACTGAGATCAATGGTATCTCGAAACTTGTTGTGTATCAACTGTTTTAATCGCAAACATCTCCATGAACTGGCTTTGTCCTTATGTTTATCCTCATCGGACTTCTGCTTTCTAAATTGATCTGCCAACCACTCACTGTATTTTGTGCCAAAATTTTAATCATTTTCTTTTCATGCAGCATGAGGTTGACACTTGTATCCTATAATTGTGTAGGTACCTCAGTGTCTGCTTTTGGTATATTGATACTCTTTAATCATTTAATCTTCACTCAGCATGTGGTCGACACTTGTATCCTATAATTGTGTAGGTACTTGAGTCTTGTGCTTTGTATTACCACTAGTCAAAAATGGTATTCCTAGTATTGTACATTAATATTTATCCTTATCACATCTCGTTGGTTGTTCCGTGTACCACACCAATGCCTCACTGCTTAGAGTGTACCTATTAGTACCCACCGGACTTGGATCAATTGCAATGAACATCGTTATTCTTGACTGTCACATGCAACTATACCTGGTTCTCAAAGTATTTGATGTACCTTTGCTATTAGTCCAGTTATGTAGTAGCCATATGGGTAGGTCCCTAGATATTATCTGCATTGTTCAGTATGGTATCACATACCTGGTTATTCATACAATTTTTGTAAAAGGCTATAACGACTTGGTAGACCATATTCCAAAGGTATTCCATCAATGACAGTTCTTTATAGTACTAGCATAATACCTTCTTCAAGTTAGTTGTGGATCGTATGTATTAGCAACCATTCGATGTATTGTACCCGATATTAATAAAATTTCATTTTCTGAAATTCGTCATACCTAAAGTGACACATAGTGCGAACAAAGCCCAAGAACCCCTTCTGGAGTGCCTCCTCGTTCTTCAGCCTATGTGTAAGCCTCAGTAGGGATTGACACGCATTCTTGGTTGCTATTGTTTCCAAATGCTTCCATTCATTCTCTTCGCTGCATGATGTCTGTACGTTCTAGTACCAAGGATTTATAAAAACAAGACCCGAATGACCGTGACAAGACTCAAATGACTATAGTAATGACAATGCATCACATTTCGTTCCCACCTTCGCAATGATGGTTACCATGACATCATCCACAACTTTACATGTATGAACCTGTCGGCCACCCTCATTGATGCGTTTCGGTTGTGTTCGTTGAATGTATAGACAAGGTTTATTGTGAGTGAGCTTGAGCCTTTTCCTTTAGTTACTCCCCGTACTTGCTTCAACATAAATCGTTGTGCAAAAAGTAAGCTTGCAATATAGCATACTTAAGGATTGACTATAGTTGTAGTATAGGCATAATCTTTCACCCCAACTTTCCCCTTGGCTTTACCGAAATTGAAATTTCTACCTCGTTGTTGAAAACAAATATGTGTTCTTCGCCTTTTTTTTTTTTTTTTTGAAACACAATGGCCCCATCTATAATGGGGGGCAGTAGTCCGGTTGCTTATTACCGGCAAGCATGAGGGAACAAGTTTTTTGGGCGGGACTTTGCACACTATTAATCAAACGTTCTTTGCCTTTATAATATGCTTGTGGTCCAGGTTCATAAACATGTCATTAACATCATACATTGTTGAGACCGTGCATTTTCGTAATCTCGGTATTAGTTTATTTATAGCGCCAAGTGCAAACCCAATCTCCATCTTTGTCATCAAAAAGTTTATGGATTGAGATAAAAGATTTAATGTCAACCGACTAGGTTTCTCGATATGGAGGAATAACTGGTTGAGATCTTGTTATATCTTTGTTCTTCATAATGATATATATTGTACCATATTCACCCTTCTCATACCACATTGCCACCCTGGACAGTCCCATGACTTCATAATCGAGCATCACATATGTGCGAGGAATGAACTCTCGTGGGGCCCTTATCAGATATGCATATGTTCTGGGCATAGGCCCTCAGCATGCCCTGTGCCCGCCCTAAGTGAAGGCAGGCCTGAATATTCACAAGAGGCGACATTTTTCCATATGTGGGTACTCCGGCAGTTGCAGCACGACAGTTGGTTACAAGAAAACGTGAGCCTCCCTGCTCACTTCAGAAAACATGTGCTGCGCCGGGTAGTTGCGCCTGGGCACACACACTGCGAGGCAGATACATCACCAAGTGGCCAAGGGCCTACGAGAAAGCAGCATTGTCGACGTATCTACCCCGGGGCCTGTGCAGATGCAGCAAACGGCTGAAGTCTGGAAACGTTGGGTGTGCCCAATTGTAAAGGGCCCAGGCCCTCAACTGCAGAGTTGGGCCTGGGCGCAAGTACCGGGGCCAAACCGGAAGCTACTGGAAGCTTCTCAGCCAGGCCCATACGCAGCCAAACAGAGGCTGCCATTTCAATATAGGCAAGGGGCAGCCATAGTCTTGCATTCTGGCCCACGCAGGCAATGCGATCACGCAGCTGCGTTGCTGCACGAGAGGCTGCATGGGCCAGGGCGCATACGGGCGCTTGGGAGGTGAGAGGGGCGCTGCTGGGCAGCGGTGCGCAAGCGGCCATAGCCGGGCTGCAGGGCGTTCAGTAAGAAAGACAAGGTGCTGTAGAAAGATGATGCTCAATTCAAGATATTTCAAAATTCATAGATCCACTCATCAAGTGAGAAAGCAGTTTGCACGTCATGCACACAATCAAGACCATATAGGAGTAGGAAAAGAAACTCAGAGATACCCCAGCATGACAAACAATACCATGCATACACACATGGTCATCCCATAGGTGCACAAAACTTACCTAAACTTACCTGAGTGGCCTGAGCTTCGAGATGAAGTATAACTCACCCCCCTCTCATATGGTCCTCCTGACCCTCGCAAAGTTACCCCTACAGTAGTGTCCTTTCTTCTAGGAGGGTCTGACTCCAACACCAAAGTACAACGTCCGATCCCCCGTCGATGTTGAAGACTGAAGTAGCAACTTGCAGTCCGTTGATGCAGAATGGCCACTTCCCTCGAGCTTGCCTAGTTGAGGGAAGCCCTAAAGTCCCTAATTGGCTCCCTTAAGTCCAGATTCCAGGTGCGGGTGCCTGTCACTGTCGCTCTCTCAAAGTGTCGTACGAAGTTTCTTAAAGTGTCTTGCCAGACGGAAGGAAGCATGGGTGCGTTTCTGTTGTAAATTCTATTCTGACTTGTTGGTGGAATAGGAACCGGACTGATGCTTCCCAGAATGGAAAGGAGCCAGGACCATAAGTGTCTTGCCAGCCCAATCTTGCACTCATACAACCTGGGCAGGTCCAGTGTCGACCCTACACGATCCAGCCAGGTGGGGGCAGCTTCCCAATATCACGCTGCCCCACTTCCCACTAGCGAACCATCCCTAAACTAAGTGGTTACCCTACACCGCTTACTTAGGGTTGGGCAGCAAAGTCAACTCTCGCCAGCAAGTAGAATCCGCTCTGATACCAATGTTATGATCCTGGCCAATTTCGAACTGCAAATTCACGAGAAAGTACAATGATGTCTAATTGCAAAAGTAATAAATGAACATGAGAGGAGTGAGGGAAGAAGAAGAAGAAGAAGAAGAAGAAGAAGAAGAAGAAGAAGAAGAAGTACACCAGCAAAAGATCACTGATAATTCCCCATTTTCTCGTCAACCAACTCCTTCTTGTCTCCTCTCTTATTCAAACAATAATAATAATAATAAGGGATAATTTGCAAGATACCCCCATAAGTTTAGGTATATGTGAATATGCCCCTGAAGGATGTGGGTAGAGCGGAGTGCCCTTTGGGTCGAAATCTTTGTGTTATGCCCCTGTCAGGCGTGTGTGCAAATTTGCAATCTGAACCTCCCCTTTCGGGCCTTGGCCGTTTGAAATCTCACCTACAAAAAGTTGGAAAGTACTGGGGCATTTTGCAAAGTTGGACGGTACCCCGTAGGGGTATATTGCAAAGATGGGGTCCAACCTACACCAGTGGTATTTCTTTTGGTCAGAAGGGCATTCCGCTCTACCCACATCTTTCAGGGGCATTTTGGCATGCATCCCAAGTTATTGGATATTTTGCAAACTATCCCTAATTATTATGACGAATGGCGGAACCAGAATAAATGTCCACATCCCTCATCTACTGCCACCACAACAAGAGGTCCACCATGGCCATGACCGCCCTCCTCTCTCTTCTTCATCTAGGTCGAGGCTATGGCGGACTATGAAGGGCCTTGCCCTGACATGCAACGAAAATCAGCTGTGGCCTCTTCTTCTCAGGTCATCATGCCTGACTCTGCCTCGAAGCTTCTTGATGCAGCTCTATCCCAACGGGCGCCTTCCAGATGCAGAGCCCAACAAGGTGATGAAGATGGCGTCCACCATAGCCAGGTAAGTACTCCTGGTGCTCCCCTCTCCTAGTCCCCTTCTTTCTCCTACTACCCGAGCCAAGGTGATGAAGATGGCGTCCACCATAGCCAAGGTGGAGAGCTGTGCGCTCCTTGTCCCCAACGCACTGCTTCATACCAGTGCTGCTTCCAACCAGCGCTCCAACAGCGTAATGCAACACTTGCACACAGCAAAATGAGGTGGAGCTCTTTGCTCCTCCTAGAGATATAGTGACCAACTTGCCTCTTGGGCGGTGACTTCCAGGCCGCACGGCCTCCAAGCAACTGGTACCGTCTCCCTTTTGGAGGGAAACATCATTGCAGGCTCTGATATTGTCCGCACAGGCCCTATACTCAGACGACTTGGACCGGTACCCCACCTAGCCTAGCGCTACTGGGCCTCAAAAAATGCCAACTTTTTGTCTTCTTCTGCTCTGCCTCTGGTTCCCGACACATCAACCGCTACTTTGAGTGGTTACCGGCCTACCTACTACTTGAGTGCCTACCGCACCAGTCCACCGCTACTCGAGTGTGCCCTAAGCTTATCCCTTTGGCCACTTAAGTGCTTTTCCCCACTGGAACTCAAAAGTCACGGCCACAGGTAAGTACCGGCCCTGAGGGGCCTCCAAAACAAACAAGTGCCCTTGCGCGTCACACACACGCTCAGGCTGGCAAGCACTCAGACAGGCACACAGACCAGCAAGCACACACACACACAAGGCAAAACGTGGGGATCCCAGCAAGGCAGTCATTCCAGCAGCAAAACTGAGAAATCAGTTGTGTTCTCAGTCCGTGTTTTGGCAGGTCCTTACAAGGTGATAAACAGGCATGGATGGGTGTAAACCAGGCACAGTAATTTCAGCATGCTCCCCAGGCAGCACACTCACCTGGACAGTAAGGTGGTGATTGTTGGTATACTCCGCCAAGAAACGTGTTCCCTGAATTGATGCATGGATGTCAGGCCGACTAAAGACCTGCTGAAACTTGTTGAGCATCCTTGAGAGGTTACTGCTGGAGTCCTGCCTCAGCATCTTGAGGCCTGTGAACCTGTAAACCATGCAGTTGCATGGTTGGGGCCAAGGACAGAAAAAAAGGAACCATAATTGAATTCATTACTGAATTTGGTCATTCAGTGTCAACGAGGAGACAAAACATGTAGAAGTCTTTTTCAATTTCTCCTACAACTTCCAGCAACGTTTTGTTGTTGTTCTCTGTTCCTCCACGCAGGAGAACAGTTTAGAAGATCACTCTGAATAGTGCCTGACAAGCTCGTGCAAAGAATGGGTCCATGAATTTTGGGATTTACCTGCCTCGTGGCTAAATGATAACCTCACAAGGGTGTGAAACTTCAAAGCCTGCCCAACTACGTGTCACCATATGCTTTCCACTCTCAAGCACTGTTGGGCCATGTCCTGACATTGCTAGTCAGCTCCGATGCTTTTCACTTTTAGATTCTCGGCCTCTGTGAAAGAAAGGTAGGATGAGTATCGTCCCTAAGAGAGTCTGGGCGGGAGGGGGAGGGGGCATGAGGTCTCTTCTGCTTCGCACAATCTTTGGTGTCTTATCAGCTTTTGGCACAATTGGATCATACCAGTGGCAGACAGCCATTGAACATGATATGGGTACTTCGCATATTGCTAAGGTCAACACTCCCAACACAGGCAAAAGTATTGCTAAGGTCAACACTCCCAACACAGGAAAAAGTACCTCTCAGCTTGCACCATGCACTATCAATTGATTGTTCTTTTGTTTACCTACTGGATTGCAGTTCAGTCTCAAATGGCACAAGGAAACAAGATAGATGTGGCAGTCATGTTCTGAGGAGAATCCTTCAACGCAGAGGATATAGACCAGGTCACTTTGGGTAGCTCAGCCACTTTGTCTCAGACCAAAAGAAGATAATTAAGGTACAGTCTGGTACAAACAGGAAGATGGGTGGTAGTGGACTCCTGCGAAGATTTGTGAGACTAATGCGTGCAAATCCTCACTCACACTTTGGTGGCCATGTTTTTTTCTTGAAACCACCATTCACACAATACCTCATTTTTGCAGGCACTGCAATTCGCATGAAAGATTCCAAAGCCAAAGTAGAAAGTGGGGGTGACTGGGAAAGAGGCAAGTGCAAACACTGCGGACGGATCAGAACATGGTAGTCATATCGGCTACAGATGATAGAGCTGGAGCTCTAGAGGTTCAACATCAACTGGATCGTACAAAGGTTCAGGTACAAGCGTGAACAAATTCACACCTCATCACACCAAAGCTCACACAAGAGAGGAGAACTGACACGAGATATGAGAATTCCGCAGATTGTTTAAAAGTTAATACAGCAATGTGCATGGGTCCTGGGGACCATCTCACGCAAGTGTGTACATGCCATGCATCATACTCCCACACACAATGAACAGTAGTCTCACAATAGACAAAGATAGAGAAGATGAGGACCGAGTTTCACAGCTTATATTATCAGAAATATGAATACAAAGTGTTTCAAAGTTCCCCT